CCAATGTATTATTTCAATTGATCTTGATATTTTAGACTGACCGGAGGCCGTATTTCTACATAGCCCCCAGTAGCTTTTAGAACTACAAACGTACGTTAAGATACGATCTAGTTTGTAAAGCGAAAACCAAAGTAAAACGGTTTCGGTCATGAAGGCCGTATTTGTACACAAAGAACACCGCGTACGGTGAAGAGTGTACAAGTTGAAATTTCGATGGGTGGTGTTTGGAAAAGATACCAATACCACAGTGTGAAGGGTGTAAGATATTTTGCCGTGTAGTGTGTAGTATATGATAGCGTGTATTTGAGCGTATATGATTAAGAAATGTGGTGTTATGCCAGGTTTTAACCACACACATAACATCAACCAAACTTAAAATTGATATAACGTTCAAACACGTATCTGTATCTGCGTTGTCCATGTTGAGTCCTTGTGGGTTAAAGAGCGTCATTCTCATTGGTCCTAACATTGTTCATCATCGGTCAATACTACTGGGCTCTCCTCTTTGACGATGTCAGCCATTTCTATATCATTGCCTGTCGTCGAAGAGTCCGTCGTGGAAAGCTGAGGCTGCGTATTGCTATCCATCGTGTCGGATGATTGTGTCGGGGAGGTCGTTGGTATATAAAGTATTAGATTAAGATAAAATCTATGATATCATCATTTATTTGCATAAGTCCTCTCTATATAAAATTAGACAGGTGCCCCTAGGAGACGTTATCCTTAAGAGATGTAGACATATAATCTGAGGCCGGTCCTGCAGCCTGTTCTTGGAGGTTTTAGGGGTTTTCATGTGTGAATATTTCACCTTTCACCTCAGCTTGACGGTAGCTTTATCTAATACATACACTATAGTACGTACTACAATAGATCCTGATGGGAGACACTTCTAGCGGTGAACGCTGTTGTGCGAAAGGATGCACTACGACGCACCCAGTGGGTGGTGTACACAAATGCGCTGGTTGCGATCGAGGTATGCATGCCCTTTGTGGCATGTATCTTGGTGAGGGGCATGTTGCAAACTCGATTGGTTACTGCCTGTCTACAGATAAATGTCAGCCACCGAATGACATGTGGGAGTCTGGTTTCACTAATAACAGACAGACAGAGCCAGACGAATTGTCACAGAACGCACCTACAACGAGTGAACCAGGCGGATCGACACCACAGTCTACGCCCAAGCAGGATATATCGTCTGGTATGAAAGGAGTCTCTAGTATGATAATAAATTAAGCTCACTGTTGGTAAGAGGAAGAAAACATATAAACATACTGTATTATCAAACAAGGTGAGCTCCAATACAACAAAAAAAATTCAATCTAAAAAACAAAGATAAAGGTGTTATCGTGCGTACAATCAGGAATGCAGGGTACAACTTAGACCTATCATGGAAAGACAACTATCGTAAGGATTTAGTGAAGGAGGCCGTGCGGGTAGCACATGCATCATTTGGCGTCAGTATCAAAACAATAAGAAGGTTCATGGAGTCTGAAGAGAAGATACTCAGTCAGTCTTATGAGGTACATGCAAAAAATAAATATCGAGAAAGGTGAGGTACACATCACGAGTTCGAGAAGCGTTTGATCGAGTTGGCCGGTAAGGTTAGAGAAGCTGGTTTTAGTGTAAGTCAGGGCTTGATCGTCACGAAAGGGAAGGAGTATTTAATGAGAGCGTCTAGAATACCTCCTGGTGTGACCCATACTCCCATAGGTTGGACCCCGAACCTGATGGTATGAAACTGACCCAGACTTGTCTTACCTCTTTATATGTCCAAATATTTACCAATCCCGGGAACTGGACATATAAAGAGGTATGACTGTACCGCCAACCGTATTTTAATTTTAATTTTAATAAAAATCAAACTATAAAAGTAAGCACTGAGTGCAGCACTGAGCAGCAGTGAGCAGTGAGCTGTGAGCCTCATTGTGGAAGACAGTCTGGAGCCCGCCAATCTATATTTGGCAATTGTAAATGATATAAAGATCATTCGCGCAGGGGTAAATGATGGTCATATCAAAGAAACGAACTTTTAAAACGTGTATGTTGCTAAGTACATACACCAAAATGCCTAACCAAGAGTCAAGCTATCACATCGGAGATGGACCAGATACAGATGCACTTGAAGCAGATCCCCCTACGAAACCACTGAGTATCATCAAGAATTTTCAATTAGGATGGTTCGCGATGGTGATGGGGTGGGGTGGCACCGCGCTGGCCTTAAACATTCTTCCGGGTGTATCTGACGATATACATACTGTGCTCAACATAATCGGAACGGTTATATGGGTGTGGGATCTTATTTACTGCATTATCTTCTCAAGTTTATTATTGGCCCGCATTGTTCTGTATCCTAAGCCATACTGGGAGATGATGAAGGGCCCCGCACAATTCTTATTTTTCGGTTGCATGCCAATGGGTGTCGCAGTCGTGGGTATGGGGTTTGTACCCTTCGGACCCAATATTATGTCCGAAAAGGTCGCATACGAGATAGCCTACGTATTATTTTACCTTGATGTCGCTCTCAGCGTGATCGCCATGGTACTCCCACCGTTTATGATGGTGGTCTATCAGAAACACACTCCTGAGAATATGCAGTCCCTTTGGCTTCTTCCGTTCGTCTCGTGCGTTGTCGCAGCAGCACAAGCGGGCGTTGTCGGGCCCGTAATGGAAGATTTGAGCCGACAGCAAGACATCCTATTTACAGGTTTTATTTTGTGGGGAGCTGGAATACTAACTGCTGCACCAATTATAGCTATTTACATGTCGCGGTTAGTATTTTACGGCTTCCCACCTAATGGGTTGGGCAACTCAGTATGGGTGATCCTGGGTCCAATTGGTCAAGGCTGCAATGCAATCGTAATGTTAGGCCGTAATGCAGGTCAGTTACAATGCACAGGCCATTTCTGTCCGGACAAGACTACTATTATGGACACATGTGCGTGCAGCGGAGCGCTGACACCCTTAGGTGCCTTTGGGTACGTATTACCAGGTATCACGCTCATGACTGGGTGCGTGATGTGGGGCATTGGTGTGTGGTGGCTGTTCATGGCAAGCACGGGCAGTATATACCATGCAAGTATAGTGGATAAGGCAATTAAGAAGGTACACAATCCCATTAGTAGGAATCAGTCGTTCTTGACACCAGATAACAAAGGAAGGCTTAGCGAGACGACGATCAATCAACCACAGCGCCGGCCGAGAGCACTGCCCTTCAACCTGGGTTGGTGGGGAGTAGTTTTCCCCTTCGTCACGCTGATCATGTAAGTATAAAAATGGGCTTTTTGCATGCATGTGTTGGTTTAATCAGCTTTAGCATCCCACATACGCACGAGCTGTGTAGTTCTGGATTGAAATTTTAAAACTACGGAGCTCGGCGGTTGTCCATAGTGGAATATTGTACACATTGCAATAGTTATTTTGGGACTTCTCACCACGGCAGAACAAACATGTTTTTGCAACAGTGGTTTTTTGCTGTACGATTCATAAACAATATTAATTATGTTCCTTACTCTATCCATCTTCTCTATTGCACAGGGGTACCGGACAGCTATATATCGATACAGGTTTCGGTTGGTTCATGTGGTGTGGCCGCATCTTCACTGTATGTCTCGTGATAATTTCATTCTACGTGCACATCAAAACAATCTCCAAAGCTGTCACTAGACAATTTTGGGTCAACTTTGGCTAGCTCCAAAGATGCCAATTTCGGACATTTCCATGATACTTCTATAAGATGCAGGCGCAGAAAATCTCGAACGCGAGGACCTCCGCCAAAAATTTAGTTAAATCAATTGCGATATTGCAATTGCAGGCTTATAGCCAAATACAATTAGGCAAATTCTTTACATAATACCAATAAACAGAACTTGTACGGCTGCGCGATCCTCCACACATAAACAGTGAATGAACGTCAGCAAACATACACCACTCGCAATCTAGAAAGTAGATATATCGCACTCAATGACTTTCGTAGATAAATGCTATTAAGGCACCAATACGCCTATGGCTGCAACGTACACGAGTCTTGTTCGGACTAAGTCTATTAGCGTTACAGACTACGCTTGTGAATATGCTGGATTTCTGTCTTGTCTCAGACTTAATATCAATTTCGTATATGATAGCGGCTATCTTTTATGAAAATGAACCTACTCGTGTACACCACTACTTCTTCAATTTCTTCTCTGAGGGGCCTGCGGCAGGCGATGCACGCTTGTTTGAAGTGTTTGCGTTGGGTTCGTCAACTGCCATCGCATCTGTCGGAACTACCGAAAGCCCGGGGATATGGGGTTCTACCAATTGCATTACTAATTTCTGATGCTGTTCGTTGCTACTATCCACGTGAATTTGTACCTTTAACCTATCGAACATGTGGAACTTGTAGGGCTTGCCATCTGCAGGAGGTGACGGGGTAAAATAAAACAAAATCATTAAATTCATGAGATAGCATTGAAAGCGCTGTCGCCGCCACATCGTCTTGATGAGCACGTATTTAGTGCACAACTGACACAAACGAGCTTATGTATATATATTCAGTGGTAAAACAGCACTGTGCGGGATTAAAACCAGGTCGCTTTTACAGTGGTTATTCTCGAGATGCTTCAATTGTCAAGAAATAGATGATGATATGATGATCGATAGGTCAACATCTGCAACTGAATAAAACTTCAAGCAACGTGTGCGTCTGCATACTACATTTTATGCATGTCCATTCAATGCTAAATTGGTATGAGATGTGTCAGTATTACGACCATAATTCCAGCATATACACACTGAGATCCATGATGGCGCATGCAGGTTTGGCAATAATACACAACACCGTGTGGGCTGCGCAAATCTGCAATTGATGCATGCACTATTGATCAACTAAATAGAATATTGTATCAATTCATGGGATAGCATATAGCATATCAAAATGACGCGCCAAAACACGCTTAAGTATGGTTAAACCTCCCCTATATAGATACTTGAGAGCTAGCGAACCTAGCAAGTAGCAAACTCGATGTAGGCGGTGAGTACTCGCAACATCCGACATTTTGCTTTGTGTGTCGCAATATGTCCGGACGGAACATATACACATATCAGCGAGTGCTCTGCTCAAGCGACATTGTACTACTATTCATACGCCATATACATAAAAGTTACTTCAGTAGAATTGATTCAACATAGGTATGCGATTGATATGCTACGGTAAGGATACTTCAATGTTGCTGCATACCTTCGGTGGTGAGCGTTAAGGCTTGTTTGTCTTCGGCATAGTCCGTCTGCTGCGAATCGAAATACACCACAGATTCGAAACCATATTTCGGCACAATCACAATCAGCGCATTATCCTTCACGCGAATAATGTATCCATCCTCTACTACAACCTGAGGCATCGGATTGGTGAGCAGGCCCAGAGTGTGGGAATGGGGTGTGAGAATGGACGACTTCAGTAAGTAGCATAGGTAGTGAGTGACACAATCTAGAGCTCTCTCAGCAAAAATGAAAGCGTGGTTACTCGTGTCTTCATTTAAAACAGCGTCTCCGGAATCGTACATGCATATGAGCTCAACCTACTGGCGCACCGGTCCATCACAAATAGAAGCGTTTACACCACACTTTCACACCTATTGCGACTTTCTGCCTGATGAATTTTGCCTCTAATAGCACACGCAGCCACCTAGAACAAAGTAAATACACTCTATCATTGAAAAAACCATACACATAGTTATACATACTCGGTTCTTAAAGAAGAGGTGTGTATAGAGCTCAACCGAAGCACGCCCTGCAAACTGAGCATTGCGGTGTCTGTAATTTAAGTTGTCACACAATGTTTCCACATCGGATTTGCCTAGTAGCGTTGGATCGGCATGGTCCCAGCCGATAGAGGACCCTAACAATCTGTGCACAATCACATCCGCATATCTGTGAAGTAAATAAGAATGATGTGAGACTTGGTATGCGGCGATAGACTACCAGCTACAGCTGTCAATTTCATTTTGAGTTTATCGTCATCGTGGGAAATTGAGTAATAGACATGCAGCAAGCAAGTAGACATTGAAATAGGCGGGTTGCACAAAAACGAGACACATGAGTATTAAATCCATATCTTTATCAGTCGACGCGAGCGCCGGTTCATCGAGTACGATGGGCGCACGTACGGCCACGCCCGAGACTAAACTCAAGCTCAGTATTTACAAGATTCAAATGATGGTCAAACTATGTTGATTATACTGTATGATATAAATCTTGTCCGTATATGTTCAGAATCGCATACCGACGGATCGGGGATGTGAAGTGAGTGTATATTGGTGCGGCCAGACCGTAATGTTTGTAGTCCTCCTCTGGCAGGGTGCCGGAACTGAAATACTGAGCCTGTAAAAATATGATAAAATGGACAAATAGGTATATTAGAAGCGCAAGTGAGTCAAGATGTATATAAAAGCAAGACGCGCACTTGGGATTTCTTGGGATTTACCTAATCAATCTCAATACAGTCAAAAAGCAAATTATGGTGGTTGTAGTGCTCTTATGCACGCCACACTTCAGCTGCCACAGAGTAAATAGCAACTTTTTCAATGTAGAAAATGGCATGTAGAAGCTACAAGATAAATAAACGTAATGCATATATATTGATAAGGTCAGAGGCAACGACATGCTTCACGAAAGACTACTGAAAAAGGCAATTGTCAATTGCGGTAGCGAGGGGCTTTGTAAGAGGTCAGGTGGACTAGACGAGGTATGCAGTATACTACTGGTAGGCACACAAGGGAGGAAACGTACCTGCATCATACATCTGGTGGTCAAGATACGGATAAGTGTATTGAAGTACGGCCGATCTGGCAGGACTGCCTTGTCCAGCGACTCAGCCAGCTTCTTTGATGAGGATACGTCTAATTCTACATTTACAGTCTTGGCCCATGAGACCTAGAAGTAGATAAAGCCAGAGATATAAATTAGATATAAATTTATAGATTAGCTTAGACGTGAGAGCTGGCCCATAATATCACCCGACTGTTATGTCCCTTAGTGGAAGGTGAATTTAGATTAGTTGTGCACATGGCTGTGGCATAGGCTTGACGGCGTGCCAGCGTCCGTTTGAATGGAACCGAGATACCGTTTCTACCACCATAAAGTTGTTTTAGATGGATTCAGGAGTTTGATCTGCCAGAAGCGACCATCGGACTTGCAAGTGGTAACCGCTATACCTAGATACTCAATTATCACAGTTGCACGACAAAAACATACCACTGAAAGCAAATTACAACCATCACAAGAGTTGAAGAGGGAGTATATCTTCAACCATGACACACATACCAGAGAGTCGAAACGCTCTTTATTTGGTGCAGGATGTCTTCTCAGCATCGAACTTTCCGGGAACTGTTCATGTATCCTTTGAGCGACCTAGAAGACAGTTCAGAGGTTTGAGATTAGCTCGTTGCGAGCGCGTGTATCGATTTGAAAAAGACAATGCGATATATCACAAGCTACCGCGCTATCTACCCTCGCACCAAGAACACACCACACGTGAGTGATGTATATAATATATGGAGATTCGATTGGAGTCTCACCTGTACCAAAATCAGCGATACAACTGATACACTCCAATAGGTCAACAAGCGCACGCAAGCCGTCACAAACTACCACGCTCATTCAGCTCGTAGTATGACATTACCGGGACATCCACTATCAGGCACGAGAATTGCACGCATCCACAAACTTGGATAAATTTAAACGTACCGTGCAATTGGCCAACAGCATAAACTCCTCCACCAGGGAATTGGTTTCTTTGAGCTCTTTCACATTGACCTCTAGCGGATCGCATCGTTCGTCTTCCATGTCCATTTTAAAGCGAACTTCCGGAGACGCGAGAGAGAGTGCACCGGCCTCAAAGCGACGCGCTTTCAGGATCTAACGAGATAAGGTATATTGATTAGAAGAGCAATGGTGAATTTGAATTGGACCGTCAACAGACCACAGACGAATACAAACAAACGTGACTCCACATACGTGTACAAACCCTAACCGTAGAGGAATTGCTGGTGAAGACACACAAGTTTTCCTAGAGCTCGTCAATCAAGAGTATGATTGCAATTCATGTTTCAATTGCCACTCTGCAGGCACTTAAACCCAGCTAACCCACACAGCAAACAATTGTATATTCTATGATCCGATGTTTTGAGAAGTATCAAATACCAGCACTGCTTGCTGCGCCATATGAATCTAGCAATGCAAAGCACGCCTACATGCGATTGGTTCTAGCGCGGAATAAAATCTAACTTGATGATAAGCAACAAAAAGTAACACCTCAAATACTAGAAATCGACAAGATTTATACTTCTGGTTACTTTCCAAAGAACATACATCCGCACCTTTGCAAACTTGTTCAGTTGTCTGATACTCTTGGTGAGGTCGTCCTGTTGGGTCTTATCATCTACGCGTGCCTGTGCTTCATCGTACGTGAGCGATGCCTTCGAGCGAATGACCGATTTGGTGAACATCACATCCACCATCTCGCACTCAGGTGTCATCTCCCACAGACACGAGAAAGCCAAACGGTCAACATTTGATCTGTGAGAACAAGAGGTAGTATCAGGATCCGTACGGCCGATGATCGTTTACACGCGTATACGATACACTTTAATCCAAGGAAAAAAATGTGGACCACGATAAAGGAACTATACTTACATACGCCATGAAATACCTACATATAAGCCCACTGAAAGGAACATAACCCATAAATCCGTTACATACCGCAACGAACACAAGTTGCTACCCAGGAGCTCCGGCAACATATCAATACGATTGTCCGTCAGATACACCGTGGTACCTCTGCTAGCCGCTTCCTTATCCATAGCTGTACGAGGCTGTACAAAGTGTGTCACATCCGCAATATGCACACCCACTTCGTAGTTACCGTTGGGCAGTAGGCGAGCATGCAAAGCATCATCGATATCCGTGCAGCCGGGAGGATCGATTGAGCACACGTCTAAGTAGCGCAAGTCCTTCCTCCTGGCCACCTTCAGAGGAAAAACAGCAAATAAATTCACAACAATATGTTCGGTGTAGTGAAGATCCAGTTTTCGCGTGGAGATGTATGGCATCGATAGACGAGAACGAATTACATAGAGGCAATAACAGACTGTAAGAATTACTCGTGTGCAGAAAGCCAAGCAAATCATGGCTTAAGAATTGGAAGGTTTAAACGATATCAATTGCGTGGTATGGCGGCACCATTATCTATATCTAATTCATGTAGTTCAAAGGACAAATAGATTATACATTCATTTGCTATATGCTACAGCGCTTGCTCCAGATACACAGACACCGTCAGCGACCACAAGTTATACCACACACAATGTACTAAGGAATAAATAACAACAAAGAACCGGTGTAATGCAGAACACATCGAGTACTGACCTCTTCATCAGTGAGCACCCACGGGGTGGCAGGCAAGCAAGCCAGCACATCCCCTGAGAACTTGGCGTAGCTCACATCGTGCTCAATCAGAATAACTTCGCCCTCCGCTACTCTGTCTCCTAGATCACCAATCACACGCACAAAGTGGCCGTTGGGGTACATAGACGTTCGCTCCCACCCGTCGATGTTGACAATGATTCGTTTGCCCTGAAGACTTTCCGCTTGACGTGTTTTGATTCTGCAATACAATGGGCAGGTGGAGAAGATACAACGATAGGACATGAGCTACACATCGAGATGTAGAGGAGATACAAAAAATTGCGGGCAAAGGTAAAGATGCCGGTAACTGCGATCTCTCATGCGCCACCATCCATCTTCAGTAATTTTCACACAACCTCAGTTTAAATTGCTTTCGTTCAACTAAAAATTCTGTTGATGCTGAGATGGGCTCTTTCTCTCACACGCAATACCAAAAAATACACACACGCATTGTTTGCCAGTTAGCAGTAACCGTGATATTGCCGTGGATACATATTTGTTCACGGTTTACAGATAAAAGTTCTTCATTTCGTTCTCACTGAACTCTCACTGGCGCATGATACATTCAACAGCGCAATACGAAGACATAAATAGCACTACAGTATGCACATCAGTGTATGCTAATGATATCTATATTCACTTTGTCTCACCTAATATTTGGTATACTCCTGTCCTGGGGCCGAAACAGATGGAATACACCACTTCCTTTTGAGGGCGCTAGCACACCACAATACGCTCTCCAGTTTCGCTTGACAATACCCACCACTTTACCACAGGGGGGTGGAGGGACTAACGATGCAGACGGTAGTACAGGCGCATTCTTCGCTTCGCCGCCAACAGCATCGGTGTCTGGTTGGTCTGCAGGGTTCGCGCAAAAGGTATAGCGATATTGAGTATGTAAACTTAAAATATAACTTACACATGAGTGCATTTAGAGTGTGCTGATGATCTTCATCTCAGCGGGATTCTGGTCTGGCTTCCACCGGCTTGGAGGAATCACGCACCTACACAAAGCAAGCACCACGTACCCTCAGAAATATACCCCCAGAGATATAGAGTTGCTAGCTATCAGATTGATACGCGCGCGCAGTACCTAGGACCACGCGCTTACTTAAAACAGCGAATAAAACAACTGCTTACTACAGTTATGTTGACCTATCGACGATTTGGGTCATGTAATCATAAAGTAACACGAGTATCGGGCTTAAGCTACTGGTTGGAACACCATTGGTTAAAGTTGACTAGGTGAATACCTATTCCAAACGTCTAAGAGATACATTGTGTGTTCGAACAATTGGGACAAAATCATTATTGTTATGCTTAGTACAAGTGCGTGCTCAATAAGATACACTTATGTGTCGATTCTCTCACCAGCTACACGAAGGTATGTGCACACATCATCCACATGTTAAATTAAGTGCTCACATGAGTGATATGTGTCTGTCTCTGTCGTTATGAAGTTTCTTCTGGTCTATAGGTACCAACTCGCCTACAAAGTAACATTAAATACAAAAGCTGCCTCAGTACATACCTAAGTATATACAAAAGCTGCCATTAACATCGCCATACATTCATCGTTCAAGCGTTCAAACACACCTTCCTCGTCGCCCTCATTTACGGCCAGGGTCTTGGAGGGGTGTTCCCACTCATTCTCAGGTAGCAGCTTCACAGCAACTATATCGCCGAAGATCGCTCTGTTGCACGCCAACCTGCCCTTCAACAGAATCGGCTCGGGGTGGGCTTTCGCACTCACATATCCTTCTAGGTAATTCTCGCGTGATCGGTTGAAGGTGCCTTGGACCAGCGCGCCGGACTGAGGGAAAATGCATCCATGGTTGGGAGAATAACAGCGTCAATACCAATGTATACTCCTTTTTCCAATGGATGATGAGCGTACCACGAATTTTGCACTGTCGATTGTTCAACAATGGGTTTGTCAAGCATATGCCCTCGTCAGGCATCGCTGCCCAAGCGAGCGCGTTGCTCAATTGAACGAACCCATTTTCGGCTTAAATTTCGCATCGGGTTGTATAATAAATTCAAAAAGAATCGTGGAAATTGCGAAGCTATATTTGGGATGTTGAGCACAGCATGATGCCACACTCGGATACATTGATAGATACCTTCCTCCGAACTATACATAACAATTGTTTGAGCGGTAACTGACCAGTCAACTAACGCACAACTCAGTCATTATTCCCAGTATAGCAAGAAATGATCCACCAACCAATCAAATACGCAACATATCAAGTGCACAAGCGCATACGTATGCAATACCTTATTCCTGGACTTGCGCACAGAAAGAAAACCCTTTCACTCTTGACCCCTCAATACAGGTTCATCCACCAAACCTCATACAAAAGCACACAACGATAGACACACCTTGATACCAGCCTGTACGGTTCCCTTTGCTAGGTAGTCTGGGTAGTCCAATTTATCGCCTGCGGGTGTCGATGATGATATAGAATCGGATGCCAGCGCTAAGAGATCTACCATTTCTGCTGAATTTGGGAGTCCGTTGACGTATTGTTCAATTGTCGCACATGGTATATTGTCCAGCTCAGCCAAGCGTTTATTATCCCTACGTTGGGGAAAGGAAAGTAGAAAATAAATTGAAAATCCACGGAGCTCATAGAGATAAGACAATCTGTGGGCGAGAGAGTTTGCGTATGCGTTCACAAGCGAGCTGCCCATATCATAGACTAAATTCAATAACCAAAAAGGTGACACCACGAAGCAAAAGCTTGGCGCGCTGTTGTTCAGAAACAAAGTGGTGTAATACTTGAAACCCGCCATACATTCTCGCCAAAATGATGAGTGATAGACGGAAGAATCAACAGAAGCAAACACTCCGACATAGTGTAAAGAGTTAAATATACCTGGTGCCACTCAGTACAAATTTAAACAAGCATATAAAGTCGAAACCAGCAAAACTTACCTGTCATTAGTCAGCATGACTACTCTGACGCCTTTATTCTGCGGCAAGTGTTTGTTGTACCATTCCGTACTAACACGGATAGCGCGATCGTTTCGGTCGTTGGAACTCTCTTTCGGCAGACGCTCCACAAATACATCTCTGTGGTGTTCGTTTGTGAACACGTATGCATGCTTCTCGTGATTGGTGATAATCGCTCGAAGACGCGTGTAGATAGCTGTATTTTGGTTTTTGACCTGTGTTTGAAGGCATGATATGCATATCAGTAACTGTTCGTGTAAGCAGGTGGGGCAGAAGTTCAGTATGCATCATACGTCTCGACTATGTACAACTATGTATATATATGTACATACATTTATATATGAAACTGATATATATATACATATATATATATATATATATATATATATACATACACACACACACACACATATATATATATGTATAATAATATACATACATAC